TAAAATAGAACTTTAAAACCTCATTCTGATTCCTCTGACTGCCTCGTTTCACCAAAGGAGAGGTTTGACTCCCGTGAACAGAACCCACCCCAGGGGCGGGGCTTTAGCTCTTCCTCCTGGTACACGTGGCAGCGCATCCTGTGTTCAGACAAGTGTTCTAACATCTAACTTGTGTGTTCTCACCAGGAGAAACTGGTTAGAGGACGGAAATCCTAGCTGGACAGCAGTGCTAAGCAGATTCCGCTCTCCTCCAATACTGATGCTCTCAATTCACATGTTCTAGGTGTAGCTGGCTTCACATATCACTTCCGTGTTTTAGATTCTTAACAAGTAGAGACGGGACTTTATGTCAGTTTCTTTCATCATGTCTTCTGAACAGCCACCAGCTGGGATGCAATGTTGCCTTCTTGACGTTGTGCATCTGCCTCCTGCTCTGGACTTGAGTCTGTTAAGCCCTCCATGCTGAGGGTCCCCGAGGGTCCTCTACTGCCCGCAGCATTTCCCCTGTACTTCCTCACTCAGTGCTGCAGACAGCCAATATTATCCCCCTTCCGTAGATAAAAACTAAGTCTTAAACAAGTGTAGCAACTGAGAAATTATAGGGAATCCTCCATACATGCCTCTTGGAGAACATGTTTGACGCTCAGGGAAACATCTGAAAGATCCTTTTCTTTTTTCCCCTTTTCTGACATCTGGAATGTCAAGTTTGAATCATAACTAGCCCAAAGTTTAGGATGCAATCTGCTTTTCCCACTGGGTTGGTAAAATCACTGTTTCCTAACTGCCTAAATGATTTAGGTTTAAATTGTCTCTTGTGGGGAGCTTCTTTGAGAAGCCTGGTAAATGAAATACTTTTTCTGTTACTTAGGGATAAAACCTCTAGAAGTATATTAAGCTTTTAGATCTCACTTCCACAGTTATTGAAACAACAGCATCTGAGCTTTCATTTTGGGGGAGAAGATTACAGAAAAAGGCAGAAGTGCCTAAGGATGTGCTTGAACTCCCAGGAATTTTGAAGAAGCCGCCATGCCTCGGCCAGCCTCTCTTCAAGGGCCAGAGTGGGATCCAGCCGTGTTCTCTGCCAGCCCCACCAACCATTCAGCCAGACTCCAGGCTCTTACTTGCAGCTGGGAGACTTCAGCCACTAGAGGGCCTTTTTCTTAATGGAGGAATTAGGGACAGAGGTGTCTTTTTCCTTTGCTGACTCTTTTACCTGTCCTCATTTAAAAGACGTTTGGTGCATTCCTCCAGCCTACAAACCAGCCAAGGCCAAGATCCAGTCAAAGTCATAATCCTAAGTGCTGTTCAGCCGTATCTGTGTGATGCCTGGGATTCTCTGAAATGAGGGGACATTTTTAAAGGAGGAAGAAAAAAATGTACTGAAACTTGGGGGAATGCAGTTTGCCTGCCCCGTATTTGGCCCAGCCCTGACTGCCGTGAGCCTGCAGAACTTGCTGTCCTCAAGCAGGGCCCCCAGATCAGTGCAGCTGAAACCACCCGCCTTGGGCCAGCAAGCCCTGTTGGAAAAGTGTGGGCTGTGGCTGGAGGGGTACCATTTCCCCAGTGGCCTGGCAGGCACACAGTGTGGTGGCCTCGGGCCAGGCCTAGGGGTGAATAATGCCTGAGGGTGAATAACCCCTCACTGGTTCTCAGCCTCAGACTAAGCAGATGCCCAGGCAGGCTTTCAACATCAGAGCCCTGCAAATAGCGCTTGGACGTGGCGGGTGTTAAAAGCGCTGACAGTCGTTTGAATTGCATAGGCAGTAATTTATATTACATGCAGGACCAGACGTTGGCTCCCCCGCCCTCTGCTGCGCAAGGCGGTCTGCAGAGAGTCAGGAGGGTCCTGAGGTTGCAGAAGAGAAGGCATTTGGAAAGATCTCCTGCCTCCTCAGCTGGTTGAACACCAAGTCAGAAATCTAAAGGGGCAGGAATAATACGTGTACATTTCAGCACGTGCTATGTTTAAGTTTTCCGTCACACTCTGCAGGCCAGGGCTGGGTCTTAATACCATCTGAGCTCAAATGAAGCATAGTTTCTTCCATACTATTTTGGTTACTCTGTTATCTTTGGAAGTTCCTGCTGAGGACCCAGCCAGCACGTCTAGAAGCAAGATTTTTGAAATGGAAGAATTCTTTGTAGGCCATCCCAGGGTGGGGGGAAGTTATTTAAAAAAAAATACGATGCCATTCCTAAAACATGAGGGCAAAAGTGCTCCTGGGTCAGCTAACGGATAACTAATGAAATAAACCAGGACGCTGGGAGGGGGGCAGGAAGTGCCCAGGGTGGCCTCATAGCTCCCTGTCCCACTGACACACAACGTGACCGCAGTGCATGACACTGGCCTGGATGTGCACCCTGCCTTGTCTGTCTCTGGGAATAATGCTGTCCGGTTTCTTGGAGGTTGCTGTGCAGGTCAGCAGAGTACAAGGTGGACCGTAAGATGATTACAGATCCACACTCTGCCTTTTTCTAGGTCAGTTTTCCATTCCTCCAAGCAGCCACCAGGGCAGCCACGTGGTTATTTAGATGAAGGTGTCACTGCTCTAGACTTCAGGGAGCTGATTTTTGAGAATATTCTTAAAGACTGTAGCCCATTATTTTTTCATAAACCCAACTCACGAGGCTGTGTTTGATTATTAAAATTTCTCCCAAATCATTTGGAATCAAATATGATTCTAAAAAGGTAGACAGCCCAAACGAGTAACTACCAATCTAGGTCAAGGGTGAGGTAAAAGACAGAGCTGGTTCTGAAACCGGTTTGTCAGGAGAATATCAACGAGATGAACAAGTCTCCGTTCACAGGATGATGGATCGGAAGCACTTCTTCCTTTGGGTGGCCAAGCACTGGCTCGCTTACTTTTTGAAAGTCTCCTTTCTAGATGCTTCGAAAGCTCTCCTGCAGCAAACAAATACTAATTCTTTCTTTTCAGGCTCTGATTGTATTCAATTATTTTTTTCCTGTTAGAATGAAACTGACTCATTCAGAATACTTGGAGGAAAGATAAATCATGGTCCTTATATAATCTGACATTCACATGGAAACACTTAAAGGAACTTAGAATTTGTTTCCAAGTACATGAACTAGCCCTGGCAGCATGCAGAGTATTGTCAGCGTCACAGATTATAGAATTTAGGGCTGAATGAAACCAAGTGGGGTCTGTCTTAGATCTAAGATTCTGACTCTGATTTTCAGTGTGAGTTTTTCCCCCACCATCAAGCAATTCTCTGAAGACACCAGCCAGGTGTCCTACAGCTCCATCTAATTCCGGCGCTGTCTTACTTGGGGACAGCGTCAGCTCCCACAGGTTAAGGGCTCGATCCTACAGGACTGTCCCACAGTTCTTCAGATACCAGTTACAAGTCCAGGTTTGTACTTGTGCCTCTGATCTACCAACTGGCTATAGATGGCAGGTTCCAACAACTTTCTCCTTGGATTCAGTTAATTTGCAAGAGTGGCTCACAGAACTCAGAGAAATGCTTTTACTTACAATATCTCAAGTTTCCTATAAAAGCATATAAGTCAGAAACAGCCAGACAGAAGAGATAAACAGGGTGAAGTATGAGAAGGGCTGTGAAGGTTTCATGCCCTCTCCAGGTACGCCAGTCTCCCCAAATCTCCACGAGTTCACCAGCCCAAGAACTCCCTGAACCGTGTCCTTTGGGTTTTGTTTTTTTTTTAAGAGGTTCCTTTACACAGGCATGATTGAGTTTAATCACCAGTGCCCAGTGATTTGATTAATCTCCAGCTCCCTTCTCCTCCCTGGAGATCAGGGATTGGGACTGAAAGTTCCTGTTGATTCCCCTGGCATCCAGCCCCCATCCTTAGGTACTTCCAAAAGTCACCTTGTTCAGATAAGACACCTTCATCACTCTCATCATTTAGAAAATTCCAAAAGGTTTAGGAGCTCTGTGCCAGGAAAGGTGACAAAGACCAGATATATATTTATTGTAAACCACAGTATCACAGATAAATGAGGCAGCATAATACTAGTTTTGGAGAATGGACATTTGGGTCTTATGTGCTGTCACAGAGCAGAAAAGATGGGAAGGAAAAGAAAGAGACTGGGTAAGGGGATGGGTCCAGAGTCTGAAGCCACTGTCACCCCTTGGGGAGTTATTCATACCTGACTTTCCATTATTTGAGTGAATGAACAGACAAGTGCACACTCTGATTATGTGTGAATTTGTAGATGTACATGGATTCTTAAGTGCTGCAAAGTTTGTTTTCTTATTGGCTTAGCTAAACTTTTATCGGGGACTATGATGTATTTCGTCCCATCTCCAATTCAGATGTTTGGTGGAGTCAGGATACTCGGGAGAAGGGCCCTCGGAGAACGTCTAGTTCAGTTCCCATCATGACCAATAAGAAGAGGAGACCAGGTCACCTGAGGAGAGTTAACCAGTCAAACTAGCGCTGATACATTGCTGAAAAATACACTCCTTATGGACGTGCCTTCATGAATGTTTAAAAGACCCAGCCCACCAGGATCAGCAGCCGGGAAAGGGGTCTAAGCATTTTTTTGCCCTGATCTTTACGTTGTTTGGGCACCAGCTCCAATGAGTTCAATGATCATCCTTTTTGAGCCTTTTATCATCCCTGTGTTTGTCCAACTTAAATGCCCAGGACCTCTTCGTTCATTGTAATTAACTAAAATAGCCTCACGTCCACGAGAATAACCTTTCACAGATTATAACACCCAAGCAGCGTTCTATCAAGTCACACTATAGCTGAACTAAAACAGGTTAGGTAAAAACTTCAGTTAATTAGATTTTTTTTTGTATATAGCTTTCCCCTGGGGGAAAGCTGAAGTGATAATTTTTTTTAATGGGTTTGTAGAGAAGTTTCTGTATTAAGAAGACAGATTGGAAAGACCAAGCTCATTCAAAGGAAAAGAACAGAGCTTAGAATACAGGAATAGAAACAATCTTAAACATCAGCTTTTACCTGTAATTAAAATGATGCTATTCAGAGACCGTCAGTGTTTTATAGCTTTAAAATTCTAAACCCATTTCTGCTATGTTTTCTGCAAGTAAGTCCTATCCTGCTTTGGTAAATGTTAATTCATCAAATGACCGGAAGGGGTCACTAGAAGACATTTTTCTCTGGGAACGTTTACTTTTGATCTCTTTCATGCTCTCAGCCCAAAGCCAAGGGAGGAACAGAGTTATCCTTTGGTAGAATGATGTTGCCTCTCATCTGGCAAGTCAGATTTCAGCTTTGCATTTCAACTAACTTTAAGATCTTTGGGGCCCCCTGAGAAAATACAGTCATCCATGTAATGCAACCTATGTCGTATAATGATCTGTATTACTTTTCCAGGTATACTTTCTTCACAATAAATGACATTCAGAAAGGTTAAAATTAGGCAGCTGGGGTCATTTATTAGCCAAAGGGCTCTGACTTATCTGAATTGTGGTTCTGTTACAAGCGAGAGTTGGGGCTGATCTCATCTTGGTCGGCATGCCCTCCCCGTAGGTTAGCACTGTTGAAGAAGAGTGGAGAGGAAGACTGGAGAAACAGACTGACCAGAAAGCAGGAGTATGGGAAGGCATCGGTCACCAGCGGCCTGTGCATCCAGGAGACGGAACAGTCTTTCAGGAAGGTAATGTTGCCCCCGCTAGGACAAAGCACTGTAACCAACACCACGCTTGGGAGTGTGTGACCTCGGCAAGCATGCATGGCTGAACGACCCAGTGAAGTGTCAGCCCTCCCGTGACATTAGGGTCCCCACTTAAAGTCTGTCCCACGGCGGCTTCAGCTGATCACCAGGTGGAGCCTTGGGATGTCGCAGAACTGGGAACAGCGCCACGTGCAAAATGCCTGGGCAAGCACGTTCCTCGCTTTGGAAGGGTGCACTTTTACTTTGACTTAAAACTTTTTAAATGAAGTCTGACTTTACAATGTCATAATAACCTTGTCACGATGTTATAACAGCCTTTCTAATGAAAAACTGCAATTGACCCCTGCCCGTTTGTAAGTTGCATGTAAAATATGGGCTTAACGGTCCTCTGCCGAGATTTAAAACATGAGGACACAAGACAAGGACACCATTGTGGTCAGCGAGCACTTATTTAATAATTGAAAGCATGTTTCCCCATGAGCAGGTATGCCTTTTTTTGAGAAAGTGCAGTAAAGGATGTTACAGGTTTCGAGAAAATTAAGTAATACGTTGTTACCTCTGGCAAGCCTTTCGGATGCCATTGCTAATGTAATGATGACCAGCTTTTGACTGGTTAGTGCACACTCTCAAAGCCTACGGTGACTTTCCTGCCCCTTGACCCTGTGGCGGCAAATGCACTTGCTGGCTGGCGGTAGAGTGGACGCTAGGACACATCCTGGCCTGCTTCTAGGCTCAAAAGTCTTCAAACCAAAAGGAAAAAAAAAAATGCTCCCAACCAGGTGATCCCCTGGGCCCCTTCTAGTTCTAAAACAATTCAATAAGCATCTGTGGAAGAGAGAGGTGTGTGTGACCTCCATGCACTGAGAAACTTACATGAAAAGGGGATGTGCCCGTAGGGCTGTGAGGAGGGAGTGCAGACACTTTGTGGGTGGTACTTCTGTGCTGGCATAGGTTACATTGGAACAGCAGTTTGAATTTCTTTTTTGAGACATACATGACGTTAGAGATAAGGACTGAAGACATTTAATTCTCAGGTGTTTGTAAAGTTCTCAAATATACTTGGTTAGAAAGAGTGTATGTGTGAAATTTTGATTTCAAGAGTGAAATTCTAAAGTGAAAGAAAACTGGGTCCCTCGAATAATTTAGCCCCATTTCCCATAAACTTTATTTAAAAGGGTCTTGACATCATTGGTTCACATAACTAGCGCTTACCGCTTGGTCATTTTGAAAGATACAAAGAAACCTGCCCCAGCAGCTGGCAATCCCCTGTGGGCAGGGCAGAGTGAAAATGCGAGGCACAAAGCCAGACTGATCCTCGGGAGTGGTGGGACGGACTTACAGCGCACTCCCCGCTTAGGAGACACGGATCACCTGAGGCTGTGAGAACCGGGGGGCTCTGAGCAGCGGATAAGATCAGAACTGCCTTAACACGAGGCTGGCGTTAGGAGGTACGAGCTGGGAGAAGGTGACTGCGTTGCCCCTGGGGTGGGACCTCCATCAGCAGACGCGCAGGCCTGAGCGACGTCTCGGGCTCCTGGACGCCGCGGACTCTGTGGCAACAGTGAACTCACCCTTCCTGCTCCCACTTGGTGACCTACTTCACTTTGGCCCAAGACAGTAAGCTCTTTGAAGTTAAAATAAGCCAATCTATTTCGGCTTTTGTAGCAGGAATTGGGAAGTCGCAAGTTCTGTTGAGGTCACGTGGTTTTCACGTGGCCTCTGCTAAGCCCTTGGCTTCGTGTCTTCCCAAGGGCGGCCAGTGTATTTCAGTCACCCCTTCATTGCGCTCAGATGGGGTCAGTGAGGTGCCTTGGACCTGTTCTGCCTTAAGACAGTCCCCAGGCAGCTGAGGGGTGCTTGAGACGTGGCCAGGGCTTGCTGGGTGTCGGAATGCTGCTCTGGAGGAGGACGGGCATTCGCGACACGTGGTGCAGGCAGATCGTGGGCTGGATCACGCCAGGGGAGCAAGCTCTGGAACCTTCCGTCTTTTCCCCCGAGGGAAGGGAGCCAGACTTACAGTCAGGTCATCACTTCCTGCCCCATTTCTGACTTCATCAAAGACATATATTTGTAGTTACCCAACATTTTACAAGCTTTTGTGTATGGTAAGCGGAGGCCCAATGGTTTCAGCCTGTGAGGATGCAGAGGAGGCAGGAAATGGGGACAGGACACAACGGAAATCCCGTCCCCCATGACAGTCTGTGCTGTCCCATAAAAACTTCATGTGAGCCACGTAAGTGATTACAGACTGTCACGTAGCCACATTTTTTAAAAAATGAAAAGGATGTCTTGAAAATCTAAAACTATTTTTGTTTCATCAAAGGGTTGTCCACAAACAAAGCAAACTTTTGGTGCTCTAACTGGCATCCTATTTGGGGTCCACTAGGGTAAGAAGACATTCTTTTGGCCCACAAATAGATTTGGGGAACCAAGTGTGAGTTTTCCATTCCCCGCTAAAAAAGTCAATCATGTCTTAGCATCAGGGCCTTGCTTTCCAGAGTCACCCCCCACAGTCCGAATCGATGGTTTGGAGCGTAAGAGTGCTGGTCACTTATCTCGCCTGCTCTGTCACTTCCCACAGCAAGCAGTTTGGGTTCTTTCTCTCTGCCTGGCCATCCCTCCTCCCTTCCTCCTGTTCTTGGCTTAGTCTAGGGCAGTGCTAACCTGACTGACACATTCTTGCTTTTGTAGTGTACGTAGTTAGTTCTAAAGCTGGCACCACCAGTTGGTTTGTAGATTCGGCTGGCTCTCACCGCGGGGAATGTGTGCACTTAAGCATGGTCCGTGGACAGTTTCCTTCAGAGGAACTCATCCCGTCCCAAGAATGAGAGAAATGATACGAAACGAAATTTGAAGGAAAGGATTTGGCCGGAGACTCTTTGTTCCAACTAAATTGCAGTTATATATATTTTCACCAAATAAGTGTTTTAAATTCCAGCCCCATTTTTAAAAATAATTTTATGTTTTCATTGCTAGTTTTTTTTAGAAATCTTTTTTAACCCATTTTATTTATTTATTTTTTTATTAAAAAAATTTTTAACTGAGACCCTGAGGATTCACCCCAGGACCTCGTGCGTGCTAAGCACACGCCCTGCCACTGAGCTCTCCCCACCCCGCCTCCAACCCATTTTGACTTTATTCAATATTAAGGCAGAGACAGCAACTCCCATGCCCTTCCATCAAGATAATCATCCAGTGTTTCAGACTTTTTCCAGGAAATAATAGAGTATAGAGTTTGCTGTTCCAGCCCCGAGCCTCTGTCTGAGTCCCAGGTTAGGATTTGATACCCGACTGTGGCTCAGTAGCAGTAGCCGGTCAGTGAATCAAGCTAAGACCTGTGATGTCCCAAGAACAAGTCCTTGAAACTCCTAGGGGGGTGCACTGCTGCACTCACATCCCGATTGCCTGCCGTTGTTGAAATTCCAAATCACAATTCAAGAGAATGAAGTGCATGGAAGGAACCAGGGGAAGTGGGGGTTACTCTCCAGATCAAAGAGGAGTGTCCAGCTGACCTGACGGGCTTGAGTTTCCCTGGGGGTCGTGCCGCCGGTTGTGTGGGCATGTGCATGCATCTCCTGGGACCCCGCACAGAAACTCTGACATGACTGTGTTGACGCCCTGACTCAACCCTACTCTTCCAGCCTCTGCAATGTCTCCCGTTTGTTTTAACCTTAGGAAGAAGGAGGATTTTCAGATGATAATGACATTTCTAACCTGCTTTGGGTAAGCCTGCCTCTTAACGTAGGTCTCCCCCAGATGACGCCGGAGTCATCCCTCGCCCCGTGTGGCTCTCCTTGACAGTTCCCTTTGGGGTTCCTCTCTGTCTGGTTTTCTTATTCCGAGGCGAGATGCCGCTTTATCCAGAGTGGAGAGCTATCCTGTTTCCTTAAACTTGGTTTCACTCCTATAATGAAAAAAACTTTAAAAGCTTTAAAGTAAATGTTTTCTGTTACAAAGTTAAAACTGTCCATGGAAGTCTGGGCCCCCCTCTCTGTAACTGAATAGCTTTTGTAAATTGCAGTAATCTCACCAGGAACTCAATTACTGCCCAGAACTGACTCGGGTCTATTTATGGTGCTTGTGTGGGGATTTAGTTTCACATCCCCAAAGAAATAAACAAATAGGAAGGGCTCTCTTGGAAAGAGAATTGAAATTGCAATGAGTTCGTTATCTTTCTGTTAGAGAAATCCTTGTTTTCGTCTGTCCCCCTCCCCGCCCCACTCTGATAAATCTCCTCTTTCCACCTCTAATCCTCTTGCTTTGCTCTGTAGGAACCTGTCTATGCTTCTACTTATTCTCCTGCTCTTCCTGCCGCCCATAAACACCTGTCTTTTGTATCTATTAATCAGGTGAGGAAACGCTTATGCACATTGAGCCTCATTGCAATTTCCCAGCAGCAAGGAGGAGCTTGTTTCGTTTGGGGAAAGGAGCTCCTTTGCTGCATTTCTGTGTGTGTGTGTGTGTGCGCGCACGCGCGCGTGTGTGAAGGTAATCACTTCACATGTTTAGGGTCAGTCACCCACATCGCGTCCTTGGCTCAGACCTCTAGGTAGACCCGATGGTGTTAATTAGTCTCATATTCATGAAAGTGGTTGAAGACGGAAGTTCCCCCCTTTGATCTCCAAGCTTTACATCCTAAGTTGAGTCAGGAGCCCAAGAAGAACCCCGGGGTATTCCTTGCCCCAGCTCAGTAACCGTAGTATCTTGGGTACCTGGATGAAGTCGGAGGATGTGGTGGAGGCGTGGAAGTGGGGGTGTGGAAGGAGGAAGAGGCAGTTCTGGCGTGAGCTGACGGCACTGGCAAGGTTGACACGAGAAACCTCAGCCCTCCTTACCCTCCTCTGTCCTCGCTGCACCCCGTCGCAACCCCACCCGAGAGGAGAGACCTGGCCTGGGCTGAGTAATTCTGTTGGTGCATAATAATACACGATGATTGTTTAAAGCTAAAAAATATCAGGGACCGTTTTGTGTTCCCCTTGGAATGTCCCTGGAGTCCAAACAGCTATAAAACATGGCTGCATTCACTTTATCACGAGCCCCAGGTTCTCCTCTTCCTCTGTCTGTGGGACCTGGTCAGTCCCTTCCCTCTTAGGACCTCTGGGACCATGACTCCAACTGTACCATTCCTTTAGGACTAGTGGTAACAGTGCAGGTGTTTGAGTGAGAGGCACATGGTGTCAGATGTGGAATCCACAGACTGCAGCCAGGGGGAGGGGTCTGGTGTGGGTCCTCCTGGCTTCATCTTGCTTCTTCACAAATGGAAACTGTCCGTGTCCTCTCTCTAAGGTGGCCTTTTCCCTCACTCTCCTTGGCCCCTTTCCTCTGACATTACACAGGTCTGTGAGCCCAGCCCCACATCGCTAGCTGGTGTTCACCCCCAAAAAGAGGCTGAAATCTGCAGCAAACCTGCTGCTCCATTGTTAAGGGAGGGGGAAATGAGTTGCTTCTTCTAAATAAACCAATATTACACTTTAAAAGAAAAAGTATATGATTGAAGTCTTTAAATGTAAGTTATATTATGTATACGTATATACGTATAAAGTACATATATTTGTGTATGGACTTTATTTTTTTGAGCAGTTTTAGGTTCACAGGGAAATTGAGCAGAAAGAGCAGAGATTTCCCACATCCCTCCTGTCTCCACCTCCCACACACACTGCCCTCCAGCCTCCCCCAGCAGGAGGTACATTTGTTACAGCTGACACGTCATTACCCCTCGATGTCCACAGTTCATATTCGGGTTCACGCTTGGTGTTGTGCATTCCCTGGACTTTGACAAATGTATATTGACATGTGTCCATCATCATAGTATCATACAGAGTGGTCTCCCTGTCCTGAAAATCCTCTGTGCTCTGCCTGTTCATTCCTCCCTCCCTCCCAGTCTTTGGCAACCACTGGTCTTTTTACTGTCTCCATAGTTTTGTCTTTTCCAGAGTGTCATGTAGTTGGAATCATACAGTATATAGACTTTTCAGAGTGGCTTCTTTCACTTAGTAATATGCACCGAAGGTTCCTCCATGTCTTTTCATGGCTTGATAGCTCATTTCTTTTTACTCCTGAATAATATTCCTTGTCTGGATGGACCAGTTTATGTATCCGTTTGCTTACTGAAGGTCATCTTGGTTGCCTCCAAGCTTTGGCAATTATGAATAAAGCTGCTATAAGCATCCATTGCAGGTTTTTGTATGGACGTCAGTTTTCAACTCATTTGGGTGTCAAGGGGCATGACTGCAGGATCACATGCTAAGAGTATGTTTAATCTTGTACGAAACTGACAAGTTGTCTTCCAAAGTGGCTGGACCGTTTTGCATTCCCACAATAATTCCTGGTGATAAATGAGAGTTCCTGTTGCTCCACATCCTCATCAGCACTTGGTGTTGTCAATGCTTTGGATTTGGGCTCCTCCAATAGGTATGTACAGAATCTTGTTGTTGTTTTAATTTGCATTTTCCTGATGACATATGATGTTGAACATCTTTCCGTTTACTATCTGCATATCTTCTTTGGTGGGGGTGTCTGTTCAGATCTTTTGCCCATTCCTTAATTGGTTGTGTGTTTTCTTCTTGTTGAGTTTTAGGAGTTCTTTGTGTATTTTAGATAGCAGTTCTTTACTAGATTATGTCTTTTGCAACTATTTTCTCTCAGTCTGTGGCTTGTCTTCTCATCCTCTTGACAGTGTGTTTCACAGAGCAAAAGGTGTTCATTTCAATGAATTCCAGCAAGTCAGTTACTTGTTTCATGGCTCATACCTTTAGTGTTGTATCTAAAAAGTCATCACTGAACCCAGGGTCGTCTAGATTTTTTTCCATATGATCATCTGCAAATTTTACAGCTTGCATTTTACATTTAGGTCTAGGAGCCATTTTGAGTTAATTTTGTGAAGGGTATAAAGTCTCTGTCCAGATTTTTTTTTTTGGCATGGAGATGTCCAGTCATTTCAGCACCATTTGTTGAAAAGACACCCCCCCCACTGTATTGCCTTTGCTTCTTTCAAAGATCAGTTGAGCGTATTTGTGTGGGTATTTGTGGGCTCTCTGTCCTATTGATCTGCTTTCTCACTAGTACGACACTGTCATGATGGTAGTGGTACTTTTTTTAGTAGCTTTATAAGAAGTCTTAAAGTTGAGGAGTGTCAGTCTTCTGATATTTTTCTTCCCCATCAGTGTTGTGCTCACTAATCTGGGTTTTCGTCTGCCATATAAACTTGAGAGTCCATTCATCAATATCCACAAAATAACTTGCTGGAATTTTGATTAGAATCGCACCAAATCTGTAGATCAAGTTGGAAAGAACTGACATCTTGACAAGATTGCGTCTTCCAATCCATGAACATGGTCTGTCTCTTCATATATTTTTAAATGTAAAGGAAAATGACATTTACCAGAGGCAATCTATGTTTTATCACTTCAAAATGAAAATGGCCTAAAAATCCTTTATCTTTACCTGTGGACACTTTCCCCAGTTGAGTAGTTTATACACCAGTGCTGTGGCACTGGCATCAGGGTCCCCGGACACTCCTTTCCTCCAACAGTCGTGGTATCGATATTGAACAATATCGCAGAGGGGCACAGAGAGGAAGTGGAGCATTTAAAGCACACAAGCTCTGTCTAAATGGGCGATCTGTCTCTTTCCAGGCTTCAACACACATTTTCTTTCTCCTTGCGTGCCTCAGGGCTGTCTCAGAATCAGCTTTCCCTTCGTTCCCTTCCTTTCATCTTAGTTTCTGTAAATGGTGGTCATTTTGAGGTCTAAGCCTAGTTGAGGTCTTTTTCCATGTTTTGTTCAGGCCGCTTGAGGCTAAGGGCGCTGATGACGGACTGCAGTCACTTAAGGAGACGCCAAAGCTAAATTTCTTTTAACGATGCACGGAATTCGAAATGATGACAGCATTTTTGAAAACTGAAAAGTTCTGATTTGTCATTGGACCTTATTTCTGTTACTTAGCATTATGATTTCTTCCTGTCATGTGGTTTAACTAGGGGTGAATAAGGGGAAAATGTAAAAGCCGTAAAAGCCTATAAAGCTCTCCAGTTGTAGAAGAATTTTACCCTGAAGTCTGCACTATCAGGAGTCCCTAGTAGTCCTGCTCTCTCTTCTCTCTCCTCCTGTGCCAGATGCTTAGTGAGATTCGCACTGTGATCACTCAGGTGTACAGAGACAAACCCGTCAGTAACAGTATGGTAGACGGAAAACATTCTTGCAGGTTAATCGTTTGCACAGTTTCTCGCTGGGTCCTATCCAGTCTTTGCCCATCCCTAAGACTCATCTTTCTTCCCAGCTGTTCACTGCCTTTCTCTCTCTCTCTGTCTCTCTTTCTTGTCCTGCCCCCTGCCCCCACCATCTCTGCATTACGTTCATGGTATCTGTCTTTGAAATAGTAAAGGATTGATGGGGTAGGACTTCTAGTCAACCATATTCTGCCCCAGCTCCCTTACTGTTCTGGTTAACCCCAAATATCATCAGCTAAACCTGAAAAATGGTACAGTGCTTACTATGTATTGTGTCCCTCTCTTAATGAGGAAAGAAAAACTTAGAAAGGAGAAGCCAGATAAAACAATAGTGAAGTGTTTTAAGCTAGGAAAAAAAAAACCTACAGGGCAAAGATGTCCATCTTCCCTGTTTTCACAGTTTGACTTTGAAAATTGAATAGCAACTTGTATACATTTTATTAACTTCTAAAATGAACAAGTAAACTGTTCCTTACCGCATTACAGAGCCACTTAAAGTCAGACAGGAGGAATGGGGGGGGGCTCTAAACGAACCCTACTAAGTAGCAAAGTTGAGGTGAAACTGCTGAAGTACCAAAAACTTGTATGTTGAATATTCTCATTTAGAGGTGGGGGAAAGAGTGCTCCTTCACCTAGATCTGGAAATCTGCCGGAACCTTTAAGCCCTGGAACAGCTGTCACCCCGCGGCTCACATCCATCACATTCTCCCAGGAACTACAGGAGAGTCGGGGCACCTTGGGGATGGTTGAACTGTTGATTCGGGAACACAATTTTTCTGAGTCATTAACCTCCCACCTCCCACCACACCCAGGACCTTGGAGCCACATTGCTGAGTTCACCATAGAACTGGTGAGATTTGGATCTTTCTGAAAGGAAACTTCCTTGGCACTTTATATGTTGTTTTGAAATACTGTGAGCCAAGCACCATATTGATTTTATTAAAACTCACTCCTGAAACTTCATTTTCAAAAGAAAACTTACCCTCTTTTTTGACTTTTGGTGAGGTCTTCCTGGCAAGTCAACCTCGTAGTTTATAACAGTTACAAACTATGAGGTTTATACTTGGAATTAGGGTCATCTCACCAGTCATGGGTGGGAAAGTTAAGGAAAAGGGCTTTTTCTTTTTTTCTTTTTTTTCTGGATAATTTTTTATTTTGATAAAATTTAAAACTTACAGAAAACTTGCCATAATAGACAGAACAGGACACTCCCATACACCCTTTACCAGACCCCCCCACCCCTCCCCCACCCCCTTTTCCCTCACCTGCCACCCCCACTGCCAGCTTCCCACTTTACCCTTCTCTCCCAGATAGATAGATGGATGGATGGACAGACAGACCGACTAAGTAGCGTATAAGCAATAGAAGTCTATTTCTCACAGTTCCAGAGGGTGGGAAGTCCAAGATCAAGGTGCTGGCAGGTTCAGAGATTCTTTTTCTCCGCTGTTGAGGGTGGCTGCGGAGGCTGAGGACCTGTCAGCCGGCAGCCTACTTGTCTCCATCCTGGGTTCCCTCCTGCTCACAGTCGGGGGCGGTGGTAGCGGCTGATGGTTGGTGTCTGCAGCATCCTGTGTTTACTGATATGTAGGTGATATTTTTCATTCACATTACAAAGTATCATTCTGGTGTTCCAGGGCTCCAAACAAATAAGGGGGGAAAAAAAGCAAAGTTTTCACCTGAAGTTCCAGTGTTGTGGGTGGGGATTGCTATTTTGAGCTAAAAGAAAGGAAACCAAACACGTTTCGGAGAGAACAGCTGTGGCCATTTGGGGACAATGTAGGAGCCGTCCCGCCTGCTGTTCAGCTCCTGAGATGCTCCAAGCTAAAGTTCATCTCTGTCATTCCCTCTCCTGTTTTCTCCTCGGGGCGCTCCGTACACAGCGGGTCACAGAGAGTCGAGAGAGTCAGATGACCATTGAAGAGAGGAAGCACCTCATCACCGTGAGAGAGGATGCCTGGAAGGCGAGGGGCAAAGGAGCAGCCAACGACTCCACGCAGTTCACCGTGGCTGGCAGGATGGTGAAGCGAGGTCAGAGCGCACGTGTGTGTTCATACTCCATTGCCTAGAGAAGGGAGGGTGGCATGTGATTGCTCAATTTTTAAAAAATCAAGCCATGGTCTTTTTTAGTTTTACGCACCTGAAGTTGTGCAGACATCTTCTGGGCAGTGTTGGTGAGGTCTTCCTCCTGCAGACCTCTTTCTGGGACAGCGTCGTTGTCAATGTCAGACGTGTAATTCAATGAGTCGCATTTCAAAAGTTAGCCATTTGGAAATTGAGCCCTGGTTTCCAAAGCAATTGTGGATCTGCTAACAAATCTTGATCCTTTCCTGTAGTTGATTTTAAGTTATTTCCATTTTCTTGCCATCTGGTGATTGGTTCACCCAAATAAGCCTTTTCTCAATGCAGAAGATGTTTCTGTCTTCTCTCTTTAAGGAAAACTCCCAGGTCTCTTTCCATCGAGCCCGAGTTCTCTGGCTTATGAAGCCCTACTTCCAGCGACGTTCTAATAGATCTAAAAGATGTATCCACTTCCAGGGAAGCGAGATTTCTCTGCAGATGGTCGGATGCAGCTGAGCTCTTGGAACTGGTTTGGAGCAGGGTCCAAAGATTTATGAAATTGATGAATCGCATGGTTAGGGAAGACACCAGAGAGCTTTGGGGCTCCACATCCTGTAGGAAATGGCTGAAGTCTGGGGTCCCTTTGTCACCTACATGCACATACTTTCATTTTCTAAGCAATTGTTTAAGCAGATTTCCTGACTTCATGTTAAAGGTTTTGCATTCACGTAGGTTAACTTACGTTGTCATCTGCTTTCTAGGTTTTGCTCTTCTCAAACCTTTCAGGATCCTCACTCATAAATAGTGCCTCGTTCACTGTAGGCTCGTGATACGTATCTGCAGGGGGAAAGGGGCAGGAAGGGAAAATCCCCGAGCTGTGATTAACCCAAAGCTGGGTGAAAGAATCCTTTCTAACAAGTTTATTCTTAACTAATCTTGGAATTGTTAAAGGACCACGGAAGATCATTTACTCTCCCAGAATGAGGTTGCCTTTGAGTGTTGTCTTCACCAAATCACTGACGGTATAATCACATTAAACTGCTTTGTGTGAGCGCCATCCTGGTGTCAGCAAAAGCGGATTCTTCAGACTCACGTTCACTGACAAGAACTCAAGCGAGAGCTCGAAGCAGAGCTCAGGTCTTTCACCTTCTAGCCCGGATTTTTATCCTGATGACTTTTTACTTTGGTTTCTTTCTTCTTCTTCCATCTTAAAAAAAATCATAATTCATTTGAAGGTGGGCCCTTAGTCGCAGATACCGCTGATCTTGTCCACAGTGATGTCACAGGAAGTAGCTTTGCTCTTACACTGGTTTGGAGAGTCCGAGAATTTCCTACCCCTTCGTGGATGAGTTTGCTTTCCTTTGTCCCTGAGTGAATCCGGAATTTTTATTTAACAAGTGCTATGTGATTTTGCTCAGGGAATAAGTTTCTTGTAACTTTCAACTAACGAAAAAATTG